CCCCCCCCCGCGATGAAAACGTCACTTTATTTCTCGGAGACGATGAATTCCAAGCTTGTATAACAACTTCTCTAATGTTGAGATCGACAATCCTAAGTGAATTATTCTGCCAAATTATCACTTGATTGAATTTATTAAACATCTATTTCATCATTCTGTTGAAGATCATCTCTGTAAAGAAACTTTGATGAAATGTACTTTATTCTGTCTCCTTCAATATATCTTTCTTTCAGTTGAGCTGTGCAAGCAACATCGTCTTCAATATTATTGAAATCTTCTCTTTAAAAAAATCACATATTTGTTGTTTGTTGAGTCGCTTGCTTTATAAGTTGCTAATACCTTGGCATGACTTGAATCAATAATTGATAGCCTTTATAGAGTATCATAATAGAGCAGTACCCTCGCGTGCAAATAAATTGTTTGAAGAACGAACTTCAAGAAATGCCACCATTTGCATAAAAGGCATTTGCATAACCAACAAAATCTTGACAATATTTGTTAGAATAAACAAATCTATATCAAGGGTTCCTTTTGCAATATAATACTAATCGTATTCCAATATCTCCACATTGTAGTAAAATTATATCTCGCTAGCATATTGTAATACTCATAATTCTAGCAAAATACATTAGTGCACCAATTGCACTAACACACAAAAATAAATCATATACGCCATGATTGCTCTAATCCATATAAGGATGTCACGTCCCAAACCTGGGGAGGCGTGATCGGCACCCGATGCCATACTCGGCCCGAGCGTACCACTTTGTAACTGTGAACTCTGGAGGGGTAATGTCACGACCCAAAAACCTAACCCGTCGTGATGGCGCCTATCGTGGTACTAGGCAAGCCGACCTTTCCAAAACACTTTCAGAAATTAACAGAAATGATTTAAGACATTTAAAATAACTGGAGTTTCTCATAAATACGGGGTAAAATCCAAATAAAATATAAGTGCGGAAAAATAGCCCGACATCGGGGTGTCACTAAAGTCATGAGCAACTAGACTCTCAATCTGAAAGACAATATCTACAAATAGTCTGCGTCTAGATATCAATACAGAGAAAGAAAGATAATAAGGAGGGAACACTAGGTCTGGGAACGCCGGCAGTTACCTCGTAAATCTCCGGAAGATCAACTGCGCACGAACTCAATGACCTCCACGTCCAGTCACACCTGAATCTGCACACAAGGTGCAGTGAGTAACATGAGTACTTCCAACTCAGTAAGTAACAAAATTAAACAAGGAACTGAGAAGCAGTGACGAGCTACACAAATGCAGTTCATTTCAGTAATTTCGGCAAGAAAAGTAGGCATGCTTTCTATTCGGTGTTTTAAATCAAAACATTTCGAGTTCAGAAATAACAATATAAGCCCTCCAGAAAAGTTCACAACAACAATAATTAGCAACGAAGTGCAACAACAAAATAAGAGTAAGTACAACCTCACAGGGCTACTGCCACTCATCTATCTCAACAGCTCAATCACTCGGCTCTCACCCTCAATACTCACAATCAAAGGTACCTGCGCTCACTGGGGGTGTACAGACTCCGGAGGGGCTCCGACAGCCCAAGCGCTATATATTGCTGCGGCGTGCAGCCCGACCCAATACTGTTGTGGCGTGCAGCCCTATCCATATATTGTTGCGGCGTGCAACCCGATTCGATATATGGCCCGAAGGCTTGTTGCAGCGTGCAACCCGATCCAATATTGCTGCGGCGTGCAGCCCGATTCAATATATCTCATATAGCTCTCAACCCGGCACTCAGGCCCTATCTCAGTCACTAACCTCTCCAGCCCCTCGGCCTCACAGAATATCATAATAACCAGCCCAAACAGGGAATACAACAAGTATCAACAAGAAATGAGAGGAAACAAAGATATTCCACACAATAAAACTGTGACTGAGTACAAGACATCAATTAGCAGTCAATTCAACAAGTATACGACCGCTGCGGCTCCCAATAGTGATATCATATGGCTGAAGCATGGTTTCTAACATGAAAGGCAGTCAATTGCTCAAAGACAAGGAAAAACAAGCAATAACAATGGATATTCGACTTTATAGTCTCACGGGACGGACCAAGTCACAATCCCTCATGGTGCATGCTCGCACGCCTGTCATCTAGCATGTGCGTCACCTCCAATTATCACATTATACCAATTCTCGGGGTTTCATACCCTCAAAATCAGATTTAAGACTGTTACTTACCTTAATTCGAGCAAAATCCTACTCTGCGATGCCTTTGCCTCTTAAATCGGCCTCCAAACATCCCGAATCTAGCCACAAGTAATACAACACAATCAATAAAGGCTAAATGGATTAATTCCACAAGAAAACTACTAAAATATAGCCCAAAATCTGAAATCGGCTCAAACCGGCCCCCGGATCCATCTCCTCTAACCCGACAAAAATCACAAAACCCGAAAGCCCATTCACTTACGAGTCTAACCATACAAAATTTATCAAAATTTGACATCGTTTGGTTTCTCAAATCCCCAAATTATACTCTCCAAAATTCCAAGCCCTAACCCCCAATTTTCACTTCAAAACCCCACTAATTAGATGCGAAATCAACGGGAAAACACCATAGCTAAGGGTACTTAGGCTCAAGGGACTTACCTCAGTGAATTTCCTTGAATCCCCTTCAAAAATCACCTCAAAAGCTCCAAAGTCCGAGTTAAATATGGTGGAAATGAGGAAAAAATCTCGAAGTCCTCTATTTATACTTTTTGCCTAGTGAAACTGCACCTGCGGTCCCTTTTTCCGCTTCTGCGATGCCGCACCTGCGAAATTTCCATCGCAGGTGCGGAACTCACTTAAAATCCCAGGTTCTGCATCTGCGGCCAAATACCGCACCTGCGCCTCTCCCTCCGCTTGTGCGAAAATCGACCAACTCCTCACTTCCGCATCTGCAGGCTCACAGATGCGACCCCCTTCTCGTACCTGCTGTTCCAGTCCAACTCAATACTTCCCGCATCTGCGAACTCCCATGTACTTCTGCGGTCGTGCGCCTGCGTCTCTCTCTCCGCAGGTGCAGAAAACACCAGCAGCAGCAGTTCAACTGCATTTTCCAAGTTCCAAACCTTCCGTTAACCACCCAAAACCACCCTGAGGCCCTCAGGACTATAACCAAATATACTAACAAGTCATATAACCCCATGCGAACTTAATCGAACCTTCGAATCACTCAAAACAATATCAAAATACCAAAATTACCCTCGGATTCATTTCATCTACCAGGGCAACATTTCATCTCTTCTAAATTCTCCTAGTCTCAAACTCCTCTGAGTTCATAGATTTCCTTTCGTGCCTTCTCAGTTGTCTTTAAACATAAGCAGTTACTTTTCCTGGTCGTTCTGCCACTTGCTGCATGAATACTTGGCTTATCTTAGTGCCCACATATATTGGAATTTTGTGCAACTCCTATGATCTCGAATATTACTTTTGATTTTTACTTCTCGTAATAGGTGCCACTTTCCTTTGGAGTGCATAAAATGTTGTTGTGAGAACATTGTTACAAGATCATTTCTTCTTCTTATTACTATGCTTAGGTTGAAGCCTTCTTCCTTATTTCCTCAACTAGTCTTTTGTTGTAGTACTTAGGGAAGACCCTCTAACTCTTGTAAAACTGCGAGCTTATTACATTATATATCCAACGGAAGTTTTGATGTTCTTACTCGCCTATAATTATCCTTAGGGTAGCTTCCGAACTGAAATTTTGATTGTCTCCCTAGTGGCACTCTCTTTTATTTGTGTAACACTTATATGGTACCTTTAACTACCCCAAATCCTATCTAAATATTTTCCAAGGATTATGATGTCATAACTGCGAACTGAATTCCCTAGGTTGGGGTTCACTACTTTTACCTTGCACGATCTGCTGGTTTATCTATATCCTCTTGGCTACCATAACTAGGCTCTTCCTGAATCAACTATTAACTACTCGTTGGTCCATTCTCATATCTATATTCCGCGTAATCTCTCTTGGGTTATGTCCTTTGTCTTAACTTACCACTCGCACTGACTCATTATGTATCAAGTGTCCATTCACTCTTATTTATCAATAACATCCTGGCCGGGAACCCTTACTGCCTCTCCCCCGTGTCGTGCCTGCATAATGTTTTGGAGTCGTAACATATCTGTAGGATCTGAATAAATCCAATCTCATTCCTTTCGCCTTTTTACCGCATTCTTCCTTTACAATTC